TCATTGTTGTGTATATTTGTTTTGTTATAGAGAAAACTCTCCTTGTCTTTTAAAGAAACTGAACAAGGATCGAAAACTTTACCTTCTATTTTCTAAAAAAAACAACTTTTTTCGGGATAGCCCCCTTGTGCTTAAAAGCGACCAAATAGGTTGTTGGTGGGTGGTCTGGTGTGGTTTGTTCCTTTTTTCCTTTCAAACGTCAATCGTCCCTATCTGTTCTTCTTTTGTGAGTTTGTAACTCTCTTGTAACACTTCTTTTCTTCGGCACTTGCTCTAGTTATGTTACAGGTGCTTGGAAACTCTTACTATGCTAAACTAAACATTTGTTAGGTTGCTGGACACGCTGGCAATGTGGGGTACAGAGCCTTACGCATCCAACCATGAAGCGTGGAATGACTTCCACGCTTACTTCAGGGGCATTGACGGGTTTTTGACCAATATGGAATCTCGCCGCCTTTATGATCTCCACGGCATTGAGGAAGCCTATGACGATGGACTCCAGTACTTAGAATGGCGAGTCAGTGCGGTGAGTTCTTATTTTTTTAAAAATTAATTTTGTTCATTTTTAAAAAGTAAATAGAATTTATTTAAATTAGAAAAATAAAATGTGACATTTATATATATATTGTTCTACACTGATTAAATAATGCATGGTCTGAGCGTTTTATCTAATATACATATTAATTATTATATGATTATGCACTGATAACGCCATATTAAAGCCCAGATTGGCCTTAAATCGTTCAAAACATATTGTATATTAAATACAGACAGACAGACAGACGGCAAGACAGACAGACAGACAGACAGACAGACAGACAGACAGACAGACAAACCAAGGATAGGGGCCTATAATCCCCCCTCCCGGCCTCCACAAAATAGAAAAACCCACACTACGGGCGTAAAAATATTAATCTTTCGATACTCTAGATCGATTAGTTGTCTCCTGTCTTCTTTCCTATTGGACCATCCCCTTTACTCCATCCAAAAAGTAATTGAAATAGAATGTTCATGGGGAAAAGTTAGTCAAAAAATGACCTCCAAAGTTTGGTGACTTCCAAAACGGTACTGTCTTTTAAGACAGAGCAAATTTATTTCTTTTTTTTTCCTCTTAAATCGAAACAGAAATGACGTGATTTTTTTAATGGTCATAAAGTATTTTGAACCCAAAAACAAACAAATATTTCGAAAAAAAAAATTACCAACACGCAGAAAAATGTCTAGTTCCTCTATTTCAATATTTAATCGATCGCCTGATTTCACCACCATGCTACACATATTATGTTGTGTCTTCACTTGTCCGGTCTACAGAACAACACTGACATGGTTGAGTACATCCGGATGCTGCAGGGTATCGTGAAGGATTTCAAAGCAGAGCACCCAGATTTTCTTGGCGTGAAAGTTATATTTGAAGGAATGAGGTATTACCTATCATATGTGAGGCAGCTTGGTGGAATCAGGCTCTCGTCAATTTTTGGGCATGTAGAGGTATTCGTATCTTCGTAAAGCTTGTTCACTTGTGTTTATTTGGATGAAAAATATATCCTTTCATCTTGAATACAACTCGAGATATTTGCGAAAGAAGGAGGTGGGGGGTCACCTGTTTTCAGAAGTAAAATTAGTGAGAAAATGGCCTCCAAAGATTAGTTATTTCCTTAGCTTAAGAGTCCATGGTAACTGAAAATTTACATTTTTTGTGCCTTTGATCAACATTTTTCCGAAAAATCCACACAGAAATGAATTCTTTAATGGGCATGAAAGGTGTTGAGCCAAAAAGCAAAAATTTGGTAAAAAGTCACAAACCTTCGGAAAAATGCAAGTTTCGTCACTGATTATTTTGACGAGAGCCTGATTCCACCACGCTGCCTCACATATTATTACAATGAAAGCAACGATTCAACGAACTTGAAGGTCGGGCTTGAGAACATTGTTACACGCCTAATACGTGGTGCCCACTCCGGCTGGATCGGGCCGATCGCCCGACTCGATCACCTGAAACTGAAAACAAACACTTTTGCTTCAGAGGCGACCGAATCGGGCGACCGACCCGATCGGCTGATCCCATCCGTAGTGGGCACCCCGTATAAGCGATTTTCTGGGGGACGGGGGGGGGGGTTAATCACTGTTTTTGGTTTGGTTTTGGTTTTATAATCTAGGTGCTTTTTAGAGTTTGGATTACTTCGGAGGCGGCACTCTGATTCCGCCCGTCAGGGCCAAACCGGGCTGAGAGTGATACAACATCCCAGCAGAAAAACTGAGACGCTCTATAGAAATTTTCTCACCAATCGGGATTTGAATTCGGGTTTTCTGGGTGCGATAGCGAAGCACTTAAGCGCTACTTCATAGATGCCGGCAGTTTCAGTGTAACGGGTTCGGGTTCTAGATTTCTTTTTGGGGGCAAAGGTAGAAGGCGTGACGCGAAGGGATCAACCAAACAGAAACTGAAAACAAGATAATATAGAAACCTAACTTGCAACAAAACAACTCAGGCTTGCAGAAGGGTAAGGAACCGGCTGATTTATTGCAGTTGTAGAAAGGGTGAGAAGGAAGAGTTCAACTACTGGGAGAAGAAGAAGAAGAAGAAGAAGAAGAAGAAGAAGAAGAAGAAGAAGAAGAAG